TTGGTGGCACTGGGGCTTGAACTTAGGGTCTTACACTTGCTAGCAGGGTGCTCTTAGCACTTGAGCCACTTCCACCAGGCCTGGTGTTTTATTTTTTTTTCTGAGATGAGGTCCCCGAGAGCTATTATTCCTGGGCTTGCCTTCAAACTGTGATCCTCCTGATATCTGCCTCTCAGTAGCGAGGATTTCAGGGCCTGAGCCACTGCTGCCATCTTTCATTGTTTTTTTTTGGTACTGGGGTTTGAACTCGGGGCCTACACCTTGAGCCACTCCCTAGCTCTTTTTTTTGTGATGGGTTTTTTTTTTCAAAATAGGTTCTCACAAACTATATGCCCTGGCTGGCTTCAAAACCACAGTCTTCCTGATCTCTGCCTTCTGAATAGCTGGGATTTCATGTGAGCCACTGGCGCCTGGCTTTGTTCAGCTTCTTGAACCCTAAACTTCCCTTTGATAAGTGATTCATTTGTTCCTGTTATGATGTCAGACAGTGTTACCAGCACAAATAGAAATGGGAAATGTGAATCTTGCTAAATATTATTTTAACTGTCAGTTAATATAAAGCAGAAAGACTGAGTAATTCCGACAAAATTTAAGGTTTTAGAAGTTTCTTCAGGGACACACTCATGCATATAAAACTTTTTTTTGGCAGTACTAAGGTTTGAACTCAGGCCTTCACCCTTGCTAGGTAAGTGCTCTACTGCTTGATCCAGGCAAGTCTCAAGCACACTATCTGCCTGGTTTTTCCTTCTCTGGGTACCCTTCCCTTCTTTGTTCCTTCACAACTTTTCTGAGCAAGGATCCCAGATCCTCTTTGAAAATTTCCTGACTGCTGTGTGTAGCTGTGACTTCTTCTCCCCAGATGGTTAGCAGTGACAGTCTCTCTAAGGCATCTGAGATTTACATGCACATGTGCTATGACTATAAGCTATCTTATGTTTCCAACAAGAGTTCCAGTTCTTGGAGTAATTAGTATTCCTTTCCAGCTCTCATGGCACCTAACAGTTGCAGACACTAGATGTGAACTTCCTAATATAGATGTTTCTAAGAAAGTGGCTGGCGCATAGAAGGCATCCAATAAATATCTGTGGGAAAATGAAGATTCATTCTTAAGGAGCGTTGGCTAAGTGGAGACTGGGAAGCCTTTAGGATAGTTTTCCTTAAGAAAACCTCCAGTCAGTTTTCAGAACCTTTGGACCTGTTTTGAAAGTTGTAAGGAGCAATGCTGGGTGAGAGTAGTTGAGAACAAGACGATGAGTCTGTGACTCAGAAACCTAAGGGAGCGGTGGGAAGGGAACTTCCCCTCTCTGGCCACAGCTTCCTGCCACAGTTCCCACTTCCAGGTCCTCAGTACCACAGATACCCAACAAGTCAAGTTCACCTAGTGGTTAACCCTTTTAAGGCACATTTGTTTCCTTTTTTCTTCATTTTTTTTGGGGGGGGCGCAGTGTTGGGGATCAAATGCAGGGCTTCACCCACACCAAGCAAACGGTCTAGCCCTGAGCTACACTGCCAGCCCTGATTTGTTTTGATTGTTGGTTTGTTATAAAACGTTGTCACATACTCCATGACGCTTAGAGACCTTTCCATTGCTGTTAACTTAGGTAAGTTCATTCAGTGCTTTGACAACTACAATAACCTTTGGATCTTTAGACTTTCTTCATCCCAGTTCCTTACTGCCAGACTACTCTTCCAGATGTTATTTTTATTATGCTCCTTCCCTGCTCAGATCTACCGATTTTCTACAGAAAATGTAAATTTCCTAGCTTTGCTCCCACAATCCGCACGAGGCACATCCCTACTCATCTGTTTCCCCTTTTAGCATCTCAAACTCCTGAACAGGCCCCCTCAGTTTTAACTACTACTCGGGTGTCCCCAAACCACCTGGTGTTTGTGCCTTTGTATTTATTTTTGCTCATGGATCCAAACCAGACTTTCCTTCAACCTAAGTCTCTCTTTTTAATAGCCAAATTAGAAGTCTGTGAGACCTTTCTTCCTTAAGTAGCATTTGGAATTCTGAAGAAGTGTTCAAGTCCAGAAAACTGTTCACATGACACTTGTCATGTCTGCTGTCACATGGCCAGCTGTCTCGTCCAGACAACGGTACCACTCTCAGTTGATCGAGCTTGCTATTCAAAAGCTTTCTGAAACTGGCTGCTGCTCCTGTTCTCCAGGGACAGCGCTGCCCAGGCATGTTCCCAGGCTGCATTTCTAATCCTGGCTGTACAGCTAAACCCAGACTATAATAGTTATGAAAGTTGACAAAAGGTTGGGGATAACCAGAGGGACTTAAGATGGACATCTAGACATCCAGGTGGCTAGAGTCCAATGGTTCAACCCTGCAGAGGGGGCTCCACAACTGATGCTCCCCAGCCTCAGGGGTCAGCCTCCCCTCCACCACACTCTACACACTCCCACACTCACTTCAAGGCTGGCTTCTCTCCATCCCATAGTCTGTCAGCCAGAAAAACGGAGGTTTACTGAGTGCCTTCAAATTAGCAAAAAATTCCACATGTGCAAAAAGATAACAGCAACAACAAAAATACCCTGTGTCCAAGCTGGAGATGTCTACATTCTCTGGGGCCCAGGGAAAGAGAATAAACCAGTTTTTCCATCTCTTCCACTCTATGTAGTCAAGTAACAGTATGAGTAGAAAAACAACTCTGACCCCCAAGGAAGACAGCATTTTACATGAGATACAACAGTTTACCTCCTGATTTTTTCATATTTCCTCACTACTGAATGAATATAGCCAAAATTCATGAACATTTAAACTATGTGCTTGGCACCACTGTCAACCCAATATATGTATTAACTTGGACACCAAAATAATCCATGATGGAGTCCTAGTAGTTTCTTCTTTACAGAAAAAGCAACTAAGGCACAGAAAAGTTGAAGAAGTCAGGCAGTCAGACTGTTTCTGGCTCTCCCATTCTGCCTCCCTAATCAGAAATGGGTCATTAATATGACTTTCCTAAAACAAGGGAGCAATCTTCTCCTCAAAGGTACATTCTACCTCATCTTTAGAGCTGAGAAAAAACTCTGACAGGTCCCCAAAATCAGTTTTCTGACTTTTACCTCTTAACTTTCCCTCCAGGGACAAGCCCAGGGCACCCTGGCATCTTGCACCCTCTGCAACGGCTCTCCTCTTCAGCTGGTGAAATCCTGCCTTCTTAGATCCAGTTCATAGCAACCTCTTCTCCACCTCTGAAATCATGCAACACCACTGTCTGTAGTGAAACTGTTAGGGATTAGTGTAGTGGCTAGGTTTAGAGGAAGTGCATGTTTCCACAAGGTAAATTGTACAGAGTCTTGAGTAAACTTGGTATTGAAAAACCGTTGCTGGGCTGGGCCCGATGGGCATGTCTGTAATCCCAGCACTCAGGAAGCTGAACCAAGAGGATCAAGAAGAAGGAAAAGACGGAAGACGGTCAGGAAAAACCATGAATGTTACAGGCTGAATGTTCCTAATCCACAAATGTGGAACCTGAAACTTTCTCTTTTATGTTACTGGAGTTTGAGCCCAGGGCCTCACGCTTGCTAGGGAAGTGCTGTAGCACCTGAGCCACTCCACCAGACCCAAACTCTGAAACTTTCTGAGTGTCACGTGAACAGTCAAAAAATTTTAGTTTCCAGAGCATTTAGGATTTTTGGATTAGGGATGCAAATATGCCAAAATCCAAAAATCTGAAATCTGAATGCTTGTCCCAAGCATTTCTGATAAGGCATACTCAACATGTATCAACATAGGGGGAGAGCAGTTATTCGTTCAATAAAAACTTAATATGCCAAACACTGTGCTAGGTATTAGAGGTAAACCAAATTTTCTCTTCTCAGCTCTCCACCCCAGTTATCAGCTGTCTTCCAGATTCGAATCTAGATTCAAATCCACAGTTCTCATCCTTATCCCTCTAACATGGACACACAGATTTCAGACTTGCCCTTTCTCAACACCTCAACAGCTCCTGTAAGTTTCCCCTCACTTATAGGATATATGTCAATCACCTTTCCCATTAAAAGGCAGCTGAGGCAGGAGGCTCAAGTTCAAGGACAGCCTTGGGCTGCATAGTGAGGCCCTGCCTCAAAAAAATGTAAGTTATATATTCATTTCATGAATATAATGAGAGATAGTACCAAAACAACAAGCTTCTTGCTCTTTTGCTAACTTAATAACACCATCAAGCCAGGCACTGGTGGCTTAGGCCTGTAATCCTAGCTATTTGGGAGGCTGAGATAAGGAGGATCCAGGTTCAAGGCCAGCCCAGGCAAATAGATCACGAGACTCATTTTCCAAAATAATCAAAGCAAAATGGACAGGAGGTGTGGCTCAAGTGGTAGAGCCCCTGCTTTGTCCCACCAAAATAATAATGATAATAATACCACTGAGGGTAACAACTTTTCTATGCACATGGAGTTCTTGTATTAGCTATGGGAAAGCTGCAGTTTTATTATGTGACAAAGGAACTTACAATTAACTGCAGAACTTTTTTTTAATTGAGAATTTTAAGAGAAACAAATTAAGCAAAAAATATTATGTTTTTTCTAACTCTAGAGTTGTCAAACCCTATTGCAATGGAAAAAAATGTAATTAAATGAAACTGAAGTTGTTAAAAAAGCTAACAATTCATATTAATAATAGATGGTATAAGATGTTTAGTTTTCTGCTATGATTTCAGTCTAGAATTCGTGTCTAAAACAAAGTACATGGAAAACTGAGAACTCACTTGGGTTTTAATACAACAAATATTAACTAGTTTTTTAGTTCCTTGTAGCTTTCTGTAAAATTCCTAGCACTGGTTTGTGTACATTATCTCGGGGACTCCTGTGTGAGCATGCCAGGCAACGCTGGGGAAAGGCATCTTGGCGTCTGCTTCCTTCTGCTCTAAACAGGCTCGTCACACTTTACTTGAATGAATGTGCAAAGTAACTATTCACTGTAAATTAGTGTTAAAATAGAAAAATGATACATTAAGAAACAGTAGACATAGAAATCTGAAGGGGCATTAAGACATGTCCCCCACACCGTAACAATGGTATAAAACGTTGACATGACGCTTGACAGGGTCCACCACAAAGTAAGAAAATGTCTGTTCGTGGTTCTTTGTTGAAGGGTAGCACACACCAGCAGAATCCTGAAAAAGATAAGCCTAAATCATTTACTGTACAACTACACTTCAATGATAGCATATTAACTATTATATATTTTTTGTTAAAACATCATGAAACATACTATAAATTTGACAAAATTGTTGAATATTTTAATCTTATTTTAGCTAATATTTAAAATATTTACTGACAGTACAGTTTGCTATATGAGGAATAAACCTGTTCTATACATACATATGTAATTCTTATCCTTCAGGAATGTATAGACCAAAGGGAAATACCAGCATTTTAAGTGCTTTTAGTATGCTAATATTATAAAATTTTCTATTTAGCAGTTTCTTGTCTTTGTCTTCCTTTTAGAACAGGCTAGTGTACCACGAGGGCTGGGACTGTTTCTTCTGTTATCTTTGTGTCCTAGTCCAGCACCCTAGCTGATACACAGTAAATATTTGATAAATGTTTGTTAAGTGAGTGAATGAAAATACTTAGAAACTGCTTCAGATGTAGTATCTTTCGTGTGATACTGCAATTCAAGTATCGGATTCTGTTTAATAAAGACACTTGTCACATTGTAGCTGCCCTATAAATTATGGTTCAACAGACCAAAGAGATGTGCTCTACTCATCTGAGCCACAGACAGCTCTCAAACAAGTGGGGGAATATTATTAGATACAGATGATGTGAAGGAAGCTGCAGAAAAAAGTTCAAAGTGCTGCCTACGCAAAAACATGCCCTCTTAACTTCTCATTTTAACACTACATATCAACTTTTCTCCTAGTCATACAGTGAAGTAATCGCCACTCCAGTTGTAACAACTCCATTAATAACAAGTAAGTAAATTCTTCGGTTGTGAATTTCTCCTCATACTTACGTAGGCTGTAACTTTAAAGACAGAAGAGGTAATTTGTATTTTCTTGGTTTGAGGATGTTTTCGAACACTAGAAAAGAGAAAAAGGCACATTTAAAATATAACTTAGTTAAAAAATAAGTTTAATTAAACAACAAAAACAAGCTCACAGTGGCAAAAGGCATCATAAGGAATTTGGTCAAAGTAAAAAGGAGAAAATGATGAGGTGTGTGGAATACCCTGGTTTGCAGGAAGAAGTTTAGAGAAGTGAGTGGCCTGTTGCAGGCAGCATGAAATATGGAGAGTGTGGGAAAGTCAAGTACACATTTGGATAGAAAGATGTATCTTGATTTCAGAAAAGTTCAACGTCTGAAGTTGTGATGTTTTAAATAAGGTAATAGGGCATATCATCAAATGAAAGGACTTAAGGAAACCATTTCACCAATTGGTCTGGATTAGATAGTGTGGTCAGAAGGACTTACAATGGTGAGTTTATACAGAAACTTGACAATGGGAAATAGACAATGTGTCTTCATCATACAGTCCTGGAGGAAAAGTTGGCTTTGATTGCTTTTAAACTAATAAACACATTAAAAGTCATCTATCTATCTATTTATCTATGTGTGTGATGTGTGAAACACATACATACGTACGTAATATACATCAAAATACAAAACATACACAGATACTTTAAGCAACAGCCCCTTTTTGGGTTTTAGGCGTTCTTGTTTGTATAAAACATGGAAATACCTGATATGCAATTAAAGTGATTTGAGAAGACAGCATCTGAAGCTTCATCCAAGGCTGGGGCAAAGTCAACTGAATCGAAATAGCAGGAAACTGAGTTCTACAGTTAGAAGGTTTGTGGTCATCTGAGTCTCAGATGATGTAATGACTACCAGATCACAGAGACTACTATTGATAAACAGGATTTGTAAGTCAGATTTAAGTGAAGACAGCTGTAAGGGTAGATAAAAGTGTTCTACACTAAAGAAGTAAACAACTTCAATACAAATGCCAGTTCTGTTGCTGAGCTGTTATTTCACTTTGGAAAGATTAACCTCTTGAGGGGCTGGGATGTGGCTCAGTGGTAGAACGCTTGCCTAGCATATGCAAGGCCGTGGGTTCCATCCCCAGCACCTCAAAAACAAAATAAATATTAACCTCTCTGAGCCTCAGTTTTCTCAGATGTAAACTGGAAACAATATTGTTTATCTTAGCATATAAGAAGTAAGTGAGATAACATATATGAAAACTGTTGAATTATCTATTGCTAAAGTATATCATTAAAAAAAATTTTTTTAGTAGCTCTCTTTCAGTTACTCTCCCTATAAAAGATTATCTGTGAAAATATGTGGTGAGGAAGCAAAATAAGGAATTGATGAACTAGTCACATACATTTTAATATATTTGTTATCTTTATAATGCTTTACAGTTTGCAAAATATCTTCATATATATGAACAAGTAATACATACTTTTTAAAATTCACACAATTTAGCAAGGTAGGCAACAGTTTGCCAAATGTATAGAAAATACAAGTAGGGAAGTTAAATGATATACTGAAGACAATACAATCAAAAGTGACATTCCTGGGAATAGAATCCAGAAGAGTTTCATCTTCTTTCATGTACTCTATAAATATATATGTATCAAAGGTATCATTCACGTGTAGTATCTATAGGTAAAATATAAAGGAAGATATCCTTTTCCCCATCTTATCAGGTAGAAGTGTCGCTTCCCCTCTACCACATCTGCAGAAGTACTGGGAGAAAGTGAGGAGGGGAGGTTTATGTGTCTATGTGTGAGCTTGTGTGCCTTCTGCAGAGGCCAGCCCTAGTCATTTCAGGGTTCAAGCTCCTTATGCAGTTTTCATCTCTGCTAGGCATTTCATTCAGACTTAATCCCAGATTCCCAAATATTTCTATGACATGGTAAAGGATGTTTTCTTTTTATTATTTATATAAGTATTACTTTTTAATACTTACACTATCTTGCAAGTTGAAGGCTATATTTTAAAATTTTATGCTTATTCAAAGGATGACAATAGCCACTACACATAAAACACCTGTATATACCTACATAACTATTACATCAAAGAACATATCCTTGTTTATCCCTAACTCTAAAACTTAATCTGGGGCTAGGTATATGGTATAATGATATATAAAAGTTTACTGAGTTGTATGTACACTTAAAATTTGTCTATTTTATTATAAATTATCCTCTGACTAAAAAACCTAAGGAAAAAAACACCCTTGTAAAAGTTTACAATTATCAAATAAGCTTAGATGAAAATATAGTATTTGATGCTTTATTTAATAATTGGCCAACACACAGTACATGTACATAGTATATTATTTAGTAAAGTACCTAGCATTTGCACACTGTCAGAAGTTAATTCTTAACAGAAATGAACCATCTCATTCCATTTATTACCTCTGACTCTACATTAGTATTACATAAATATTTCTAAAATAATTTATCTATTTTTCATATGCCAATAAAATTATAGTATCACCTGTCCTGTATTTCTTAAGAAAAGACAGAAAAGGAGATGTAAAGTGGTATTCATTAACAGTCTCACTACTAACAGTCACATTCTATCCCTCCTTAGATAACCAAAGTTTTAAGAACACTAGAATATAATCTCCCTCCTTCTCTCTTTATTTGCTATGCCAAATTCTCACTAAGTAGCCCAGGCTGGTCTAAAATTCTCAGTCTTTCTGCCTCAGCCTGTCGAGACTGGGACTGAAGGTCTGTGCCCCCATACCTGACTCTGTATGATGCTTTTTAAAAGTGTAATTAGGGGTTGGGAGTCTAGCTCAGTGATGGAGCCCTTGCCCTGGGTTCAATACCCAGCCCTAAAAAAAAAAAAGCCATTATATTTATTGTCTATAAATAAAACTATTATTTCTTATGAATATTACTTGGGGTAATTTCTGAGAAACAGTTTCATACTGACTTTAACCATCAGGGGTTACGGACTATTTTGAGAAACAAGAACCTCACTGCTTAACCAGCATCTGAAGGTCATAATCTAAGCTTCTCAGCTCAAATAATAAAATTCCACATGTGGGATGGATATGTGATTGGAAATTCTCCAAAAACTTTGGCAAGTGTATGTGTTAATATCTGAAGCAGAAAAGATACAGGCATGACTCCTAACCTTGGGATTATTTCTGTGTATACATTTTTGAAATGTACTGGGTTAATTGATTATTTACTCAGATGAAATTCTTCTAAAGTGTTGCCTACTTGATTGTTGGAACAATTATCTCTAAAAAGAAGGCTTTTCAGAACATTTAAGGTATTTCATAGATCCTGTAATAATGGATAAGGGAGAAAATATTTTTGAGAACATAAAATGTTCTCAGAACTCCTAAAATCACACTTTGCAGTATGCCCCAATACCTGCGAATGTAAGGGACACCCTTTGCTAGAACAGATTATAGGTGATGTGTATTGCAAGGGAAGGCTAGATGCTGTGAAGCAGTTACTGTACGTGTAATTAGAAAGATAGCAGACAATTTTCTAAAGTAAGAAAACACCCCAAAATCAAGTGAAGAAATAAGGAAAAAAATCCTTCTTGACTAAATTGGCTTGTAGAGATATTGATTGGATATGTGGCTCCAAATTCTGAGAAATTACCAAAAATACTTCAAGTTCCACCTAAGCTTCCCTACTAATACTACTTACATATTCCTTGATGACTGTCATACTGTTTTTGTTTTTATCTTTACCACTAAATGCCAGGGCCTTAATCAAAAAGCATAGCATGTGAGGCAAATCAGCATGACTGGTACTAGAAAAGCCACAAGCCCTGCCTGGGATAAGCAAGCCAGCAAGCTCCTCTTCTTCTTTTTGGTGGAGCTGGGGTTTGAACTCAGGGCTTTCTGCTCATGGACCGCATTTCATTGAGACGTCCCTGACTGCTCACAACACATGCCAAATGAGCTCTTTTGAACTTTTGGTGTACTAATTACCAGATAAAGCACTGTAAGCAGTTGTGTATAAGCAACTCAGTATTTGGTTACATAAATAACTTTAAAGATTTGAAACACTTTGTTTGCTATTATTTAATGTTTGTTTGTTACAGTTTCCTTAAGGTCAAGGACTGTCTGATGTTCCCTTGAAGTCCCTTTAGAATCTGGCAGAATTCTGTGCATAATATTCCTAACTTGTTGTTTGCCTCATTAAGCAATTCCACAGAGACAACTGCTTTCCCTCCCCCCCATAAGATGTCACAAACTTTGGCTGCTCATTCTACGTGTAGTCATAACTCTTTGGGTCATATTTTTTCTTAACACTCCAAAATAGGTAGACAAAAATCATACATAAGAAACCAGGGAAGGAAATGTTGGAAAAAACAGCAGTTTCTGCAATGTTTACACTCTGAAGTTATTTCTGTTTCAAGTATCTCCAACAGAATTCCCTTCTCCACAGCACGTGGCAGTGAGGAACTGCACAGGTTCATGTGAGCAATGGGGTCCACACAATACACTTCAGTGCAGTGGTGATGGCATGTGTGCGTATGTTGAAGACACAGAGGAGTGTCTTCTAGAGTACCACAAGTGGCCTAGCAAGTTTTACATAAGCTGCGAATGTTTAGGACAGGATGTGTTTGATGTAGGCATATCTCTTCCAATAAATTTTATGTATCAACATAGTAACTATTTCATTAAAATCAGAGATAGATTATAGAAATATGCTTTGTTTTGAAAACCACATCAGAAATGAACTAGATAAATGCAGTTTTTATATAGTTATATGACCCAAGGAATGGATATATGAGATTAAGATATTGAATACAAGTGAAATAACAATTAGAATCTGATGAAAAGCTAATTCTGTTGTTTTCCAAAAGGAAAATTGTGTTACTAAACTCTGGAACCCTTTTTCTTCTCTTATTGCTACCCTTCTTGACTGTAAAGATGATCCAGTGTTTTCATAATTGAATAACCCAAAGAACATTCACTTTAGTTAAGAGTATAAATAAGAAATTTGTAAAGTTTTAATCTTCATCTGATCTTAAGAAAGAAAGGCCTTAGCAGAACACCTAAAACTAAGTGTGTATCTTTAGAATTCATTTAAAAAGGTAAAGATTACACCTAAATGAAAATTCTTACACCTTTTAGAACAAAGGTGATAATTTTTATTATTAGCTGATCAAACCCAAACATCCAGAGAGATGGCTTGTGTTCCTCTGAAACTGGAAAGAGGGTGGAAGGAAGGCTGGAAGATGGCAGTTATTAATGAAGAATAGAGTGGGTGGAAGGTTGAATGAGGAAACAAAGAGCGACAGATAAAAAGTGAGGGGGCTGAGAGCTGAAGGAAAGTCAGGGAAAAGTGCAGATCTTTCCAACCTGGAAGAGAAAGTGGAGGTTGCAAGAGGGAGCAGGGAAGTGCTATTTTTACACACTTTGGTTGCTAGTATGATCACAAAGAAATGCTCCATAATTTGCTGTTAACTAGAGATTTAGATATTACCTCACCAGGTCCTTATAGATAAGCTTTGCTGTCTCCAGATACGGTTTAAGCACATCTTCATACTGACAAAGGGATCCACCAAGGCAAAGATGTTTAAAAAGACAAAACAGGAACTCTTCTCTGTCTGGCTGGCTGAATATTTCATATTTTTCTGAGTCTTCCACTAGCAAAACCTAAGATGATAAAATTTATCAAGGCTCTAATTTTTAAGTTTTAAAAAGTTTTAATATATATTTAAGAATAATCTCAGAATTATTTATTTAATTTATTTATTTTTGTGGTGCTGAGGATCAAACCCAGAGCCTTGTTCATGTGAGGCAAGTGCTCTACCACTGAGCTACACTATCAGCCCAATCTTAGACTTACATTAAGAACCAAACCTTAGGCAACTAAGGGAGCAATCTGCACTTATTTTTTCTCCATTTTACTATTAGGTACTAATGTTCGGTGGAAGCAATGAGTTGACTCTTAAAACACAGTGGTGAAGCCTTCCTTTCTTCCACTACATATGTGTATTCTTATATTTTCAATAACTATATCTTAGCATTACAGTGTTTTTGCTGTTAAGTCACTTCAATTAATGGCGAACCTTCTCCACTCCATAAAGTCTCCTGTCTTTGTTTCTATCCAGAGGCAAAATACAAATGATTACTACGGTTTTTGTGAATCCTTTTCTTTTTTTTTCTTCCCTACAGGTACTCCATTCATTTTGAACCTCTTAGGCACTGGGGCCTCATACACTCCTCTCCTGTTTCTGTTGTTCCTCTAAGATCATTTCACATATCACCTCTCTATCTACATTGCCCCCATTCCTGAGACCCTGCCACCAGAAAACAGTTTGACTAGGTGTGCTGAGGACATTCTTTCTTGCATCACTGGGCACTACAGACACCTGATTTATTTATTGATTGCAGGTGATGAACTGTAACATACATTTTTGTTGAACTGCTTCTATCTCACCTACTTTAAAAAAGAATGTGAAGCAGCTAACAAAAAACATAGATATAAGAACAAAATAACAAAAAGACAAAAAACTGTAATGAAATATAGTGAGAAGAAAAAAAATAAGTGTATTTAAAAGAACTCTCTCTTTATAAAGGACTATAGATGGAGAAAGCTATAAAATTGTATATATCATTTAACACTACCATTCAAGTAAAAGAGAAAAATATGATGAGTTATAGGCGACTCACTGTTTAGTAGCAAGAGCTACATTTAATTAGGAAAATTGATTCATCTTATTTACATCCTCTAAGGAGGTCACAGTATAGGAGGCATTTAAGGACCATAAAGTCAGGTATGCACACCTATAGTTCCTGTGAAGTCAGCCTGGGCTATAGAGCGAGACTCTCAAAAACAAAACAACAGAAACAAGACATCTCCTGTGTTGTCTGTGTACAGTTTACTTGTAATGATTTGATGAAATTCAAGGTCCACAGATTGTTGCTGTCTGGGTGACCCTTTGCACCTCTCTACTTCCCAACTCCCTCCCTCCTTCCCTCTCTTTAAGGAATGATGTAGTGTTAAAGCCCATATTTGCAGCTACCTGAAGATTTGAATACTAGGGTGCATAAAGCACTTAGGAGTGAATGGTTAACAGTCTTTTATTTTTGGGGTGGGGGACTGGGATTTGACCTTGGGGTTTCACACTTGCAAAGCAGGCACTCTACTACCTTAGTTTGAGTCATACCTCCAGTCAGGAGCATCTCATATACTGAACTGATTAGGCTGTGCAATTGAAAAAAATATAATTAAAAAAATTTTGGAATGAATATAACATAACATCGTATAGCTATTCTTCTTTTCCATTTGTAAGCAGATTTCTGGCTGTGCAGTTCTCATAAACAGGTAGGCAGTAGTTAGTCAACCTTCTGAGCTACACTCAGGAGGGAGGCCATCAGTATGTAACAGTGCGCCAACAGACTGTACTGCTGCACAGCAGAAGGCCCTTTTTAATTTAGGCTAAAGCTGGATGCTATTATGATTATTATTTTCAGCCAGAAAGGGACCAAATTAAAAGTCCTCCCTGTTGTCACAAAGTGGCAAAGAACAAAGAGCAAATACATACAGGTGACTATGGAAAAGAAGAGTGCCAGCACTTCATGGTGCTTGCTGTCATGGCAGTAAATGTGACAGGTAGCAGGCAGTTTTGCAGAGTATTCTGTTGGAAAACAAATCTTCCTTTAATAAGTGTGCTAATGAGGCTCTTTCTGTAGAACTGAAAGTGACTTCTCTGATATTAGACATAAGGATCATCAGACCCTTGATATCAATGAGAGAGAGAGAAGTGGGGGAGAGGAGAGACAGGAGAAAGAGAGAGAGAGAGAGAGAGAGAGAGAGAGAGAGAGAGAGAGAGGAACCTAAACAAAACATCTCCTGAAGGTAATTTCCAATCCTTTAGTAAAGAGTAGAACTTGCTAGGCAGCCGGTGGCTCATGCCTAAAATCCTAACTACTCAGGAGGATCAAGGGTCAAAGCCAGCCTGGACAAATAGTTGGTAAGACCCTATCTTGAAAATACCCATCACAAAAAGGGTTGGTGGAGTGGCTCAAGGCAAAGGCCCTGAGTTCAAACCCCGGTACCACACACGCAAAAAATAAATAAATAAAAGAGTAGAACTCAATACTCAATGTCATATCCCCATTGTATAGTGTCTATATCATCTCATATGAGATATAAACATAGCTCATTTAACTAAAGATAAAACTAGATAGCCTCACTCATTTGCATGTGTTTGGTTATTCTCAGTTAATTTTATTTCCTTCTGAAGCTAAATTAAAAGAGTTGCTATAGGGGCTGCTGTGGGGTAGGCTGGGTGGATGCTTCTCTCTCTCCCACAGGCAAGACTCCTGTGTCCAGAACAGTAAATCAGCAGCTTCCCTAGTTCATTCCTGTCTGGATTTGCAACACATCAGACTGTGCTCTCCCTTCTCTCTCAACGGAGAATAATCTCAAGGAGCTTACCAAGCATTATGCTGAGCGCTTTCAATGCATCACCTCACTCAGTTCTCTCATTAGGCCTGTTCTATAGATGAAGAAACTGAGGCTTGGAGATTAAGTATCACAGTCACCAACTGGAAGAGCCTGAATTTGAACCTATGTCTACTTGACACCGAAGTTCTAAACTTTAATGACTCTGTAATGTTCTCAATAAATGCTCTGTATAATAGCTATAGTATGATATTAAATGCACTTCACTTTAACAGCATTTCATGCTTTTCAAAAAGTACATTTAACTGCTCCCTCATCTTCCGAATGATTTTAGTCAGAAGGAGGATGGGCAATTCCTCTCCATGTCGTACAGATAAGAGCTTGAGACTTAAGAGATTACTTTGTAAATAACAAATCAGGAATTAGGTAAGTAATCTATATATTCTGATTCTAAGTTAAGTGCACTTTTCACTAAGACAAAGTTTAATTTAGTTAATGAAATGGTTTTGTTGATTCTAGTAATGAGATTAAAAAGAACTTTTTACTTCAGGGTTATTTTTGATACTCATTTGATGTGTCAAGTGCCCATATTGAAGAGAAGAGCCATTAATTAGGCAGGTCAGACATTACTGACACATTGGGCCAGCCACTGTCCTGAGCTCACTAGTGTCTAGCAATGTCTCTACCCTCCAGATGTCAGTACACTGGGCTGAGGACTACACTCCTATGCATGGAATGTCAGTAGCATCCAGTCGAGAACTACTGAGATAGGCAAGCAAGTAAAAAGGCAAAAGTTTTTGACATTTTACATTTCCTGAAATAAATTCCACTGTGAAATTTAAAAATTCTGTACTTACTTTTCGTAATTCATCAGAAATCAGAAATGGATCACAAAAAGAATCTAAACACTTAACAATATGTCCACTGTCTCGTACAATATCTTCCTCATACAACCGATTAAAAAATGACATTGAAAGCTGTGTGCACGGTATGTTTATAGCTTCAATTTTTTTCACTTCAGTTCCTGAAAAAAGATATTTTGTAAAGAACAGAGATTAAAAACATTAATTTAGTATTCTCCATTATTTCTGTAATAAATCACTATGCAAAACTTTTCAGTAACCAAATATGACCTATGTTTTGAAATACAGTCATGCACTGAATAGTGATGTTTGGTCAGTGATGGTCACATATGCCATAGTGGTACCACAAGATTGTAACAGAGCTGAAAAATTTCAACTGCCTAAGTGATGTTGCAGCTATAACATCATAGCATGATGCATTTCTTACGTTTATGGTGACACTAGTGTAAACAAACCCCTGGAAGAGCCAGTCATACATAAGTACAGTGATACAATTATGTATAGCACATCATGCTGAGAGTGATAATGACGGCTGTTCTGGCATATGTGTCTACTTCACTTTGATTGTTATTGTAGAATGCACTCCTCTACCTGTAAGATTTCACTGTAAAACACTCTGTGGAGCTGTTGCAGCCTCCACGCCTCGTGTTTACCGCGCCTGTTGAATGCTGAAAGAGGCCACACTGAGAACTAATCCACACCATGTAGATTTGTGCAATGCCCTCTGTGAGCTTGCACAATGACAAAATCATCTTATGATTTCTCAGAACGCATTCCACTGTGAAGCGAGGTGTAACTGCATTAAAACACACATCGGAGGGCTGGGATGTGGCTCAGTGATAGAGCATTCACTCAGCACGCACAAGGCCCTGGGTTCAATCCCCCAGCACCCCAAAAACAAACAAAAGCCAAACAAACAGAAACAAAAACCAAAAAGACACTTGGGTTTAGGGAATCTTATGAAATTCTTATTTTGCAGCTTATTCATTATCCTTAATCATGAAACATAATAAAATCTTACCATTTCAGGATTAGAGAATACTTGGGACTGGAGGTGTGGCTCAAGTGGGAGAGCGGCTGCTTTGCAAGCACAAAGCCCTGAATTCAAACACCAGCCCCACAAAAACAAAGAACAACAACAAAAGAACATTGGCAATGAGAGTTTACTTTTTTGGTATGTTGTAGGGGGTTCTTACACTGCTTTTAATGCATATACCAGAACTGCCTATAAAAGCTTAAGATTGCTTTATATGATTTTGGATTTACATTGCTTAGTTTGGTTTTTGGCAGTACTGGGGTTTGTACTCAGGTCTTCGTGCTTGTTGGGCAGGCACTCTTTGGCTTGAGCCAGGCCTCTGGTCCCCCTTTTCATGCTTAATGTTTTATAATTTAGATTACAAGAATTTTAATTAATGGGTTTTTGTAAAGTCCTTGAAACTGTCTTGAAAAATATTTTCTCTTCATTTAAAAGATCCTTTGTGATCTGATACTCAGTTTTTATTACAAAAAAGTTTTCCAAGTCAAGTAAATTTCAGGCCAACCCTATTCAAGTTAGGACCTAAGTTCAAAATTATAGAAAATTGAAAATACCAGCATTTTGTCCATTTTTCTCTTCTACTTTCAGTGCTTCCCTCTTTTCACCTCTTTCCCTATCCTGCATCTACTTCCTAAATGTGTCTTTCAGGAATGGATTTTCTATTACTAGAGGTTCTATTAAATAAAGTCATAAAGATTAAAATGAAATATTTTTATTATCTTAGTCAACCAATTATTCCTTTATGTGCCCACACGTACACATTCACTCTGATATAAGGAGATGGCGTTTTGTTCAAAGTTCTAACAAAGTTTGGTGTGGTGGCCCTTGGTGTGTCCCCTCCCAGGATATATCTTCCGTACCTTTTACCTGAAAAGTAGCATGTGCTTCAGAGTAAGTAATATTGGCAAGCCCATCGTGGTGGTGCATGCCTATAATCCTAGTACTTGGGACCCTGAGGCAGGAGGATCTCAAGTTCCAGACCAGCCAGGGCAACATAGTAAGTTCCAGGACAGCATGGGCTATATAGCAAGACCTTGTCTCAAGAAAAGAAGAGCAAGCAACATTGGCATTTGTTGGCACTTCCTGTTTTGGCTGTCCACCTAAAGTCATGGTAGAACCTGTTGCTCCAGTTATGATCCTTAACTAGGATGGTGTGGAGACAAGAAGGGTGCCTGAGGCCAGGAACTGTGCGTACCTCAGTAATTTCAAAGGCTATGTTGCTAAGAGAAGCTCTTCTTGTTTCAGAGGCACAATACTCTTGGGGATTAAATAAAGTGAAAAGAAGACTACAGAAAATGATAGAGGAGTTCTGAGCACTGTTGAAAGATCAAAGAATAAGAAACATGTACAGTGTGATAGATTTAGAAAACTGGTTGGTGGCTAGAGGATGAGAGACAACATGACTCTCTTTTGGTGTGACTGGGGTTTGAACTCAGGGCTTCACACTTGCAAAGCAGGTGCTCTACCACTTGAGCCACACCTCCAGTCCATATTTGCTGTGATTATTTTGGAGATGAGGGTGTCATGAATTATTTGTTCAGGCTGGCCTTGAGCTACCATCCTCCTGATCTCAGCCTTCCAAGTAGCTAGGATTATAGGTGTGAGCCACTGGTGCCCAGCTTTTTAAAATTTATTTATTTTTTGAGACAAGGTCTTGCCATGTAGTCCAGGCTGGCCTTGAACTTGACCTTCCCACTTCTGCCTCCCAAGTGCTGGGATTACAGACGTGTACCACCTTACCTGGCTTGCTATCATGCTACTTTATTATTAGTCTGATTTGGGGAGGAGAAAAAGGGCTTGGATGGTGAAAAGTGGTAATTATATACAAAGCACTTGATCTGAGATATGGAAATAGCATTTTGCTACAGGCTGAATCTGTCTTCTCAAAATTCATGTGGAAGCCCTTAATACCCAATGCAATGAGATTTGGAGATGGGGGCATCTAGAAGGAATTAAGGACAGATGAGTACATGGAAGGCCACAGGGTTTCAAAATATGAATTTCAGGCAATGCAGTCGATAGTATTTCATTGCTAGCCCCCCAAATTCATATTTTTCTTACATGGAAAACATATTCACTCCATCCCAATAGACCCAAAACTAATGGACTGAAGCATCAGTTCTGGAACCGAAAGTTCAAGGCCTCATCTAAGTGTCCTCAGATGTGGACATGTGCTAGATTGAGGTAGTTTTATCCTGAGGCAAAATTCCTTCCGTGAGCCTGTGAAATCAAACAAATTCTGTGCTTCCAAAATACAACGGTGGGATAAACCTGGGATAGCCATTTCTATTGAGAGAGAGACAGAGAGAAAGAAGTAGGAATTAAGAGATGGGTGATGGCTGCCAAGTAAGCCTGTAACTTAGGGAGGCAAATTCAGCTCTTGAGGCTCAAGAATAGTCCTTTTTGGCTCTATATTCTGCCTTCTACACCACTGAGGTTGATCATATGTCTACTCTGGTGGCGGCAAAGCCCTCCAGGTATCAGGTGGCCTAACTTCACAGTTTCACAGGGCCAACTTAGCCCCAAGCTCGGTAGGGTTACTCTTTCTCTGAGGGTATGGGAGGATCCTCTCAGGTCTGTTGAAATGGAGTGGTGGCCCTAAGGATCTCTGAGTTGCCTTTTGGAGCTTCTCTTTTCTTTAGAATAGCTTATGTTTGCAGCCACATGGCATTATGGTTCAGTCCTGCAAAATCTAAGATGTCCAACAGCCTTTATTTTAGCTATTTTTTTCCTGGCCCTTTTAGTTCAATCCGTCAGTGTCTTTGCTGATATAATCCCATCTCTTATTTTTGGTTTCTGTGGAAATGACTGATTAAGTCCATGAGTCACATCCTTGATCATCAAATGGTTTTTCTACTATACCCTAGTGTTCTCTTCAGAACAAGATTTCTTGTTTTTTTATTATTTGGACAGGCAGAGAACTTTCAAAATCTTCAAGTTCCAGTTTCTTTTTGCTTAACAATTCCTTCTTCAAATCATCTTTTCCCTTTTATGTTTTACTGTGAGCATTCAGGATGAACCAAGTTGTACTTCAACACTTTGCATAGAAATTTTCTTAGCTAAACATCTGATTTTATCACTTGCAGGTTTTACCTTTCACAAAACACTGGAAGACAGTTTAGCTGAATTCTTTGTCACATTATAACACAGGTCACCTTTCTTCCAGATTCTAATACCATGTTCTTTATTTCCTCAGAGGTCACTTGAATCTCCTTAACATCTGAGTTTCTAGTATGCACCTCAGTATTCTTTGAGCCTCTACCACTTAAGTTCCCAAGCCACGCCCACATTTTTAGGTATCTGTTACCGCAGCACCACATTTTTCTGTTACTAAAATCCAAGTCTATTCTAGAGGCTAGAAAGTCCAAGATCAAGGTGCCAGACAATTCAGTTCTGATGAAGGCCTTCCTCCTGACTTGCAGATGGCTGCCTTCTCTCTTTCACGAGGTATAGGGAGCAGTCTGGTGTTTTTTCCTCTTATCATAAGGGCATGAAGCTCATGAGACCTCATCCAAACCTAACTGTCTTCCAAATACCCCATCTTTAAACACTGGCACAATGAAGGCTTAGGGTTTAAACATATGGATTTGGGGTGGGAGCACAGTTCAGTCCACAACACATACTATCTTGTTATGTAAGAATTTTATTAAATTATATCTTCAGTATTTATAAGGTATGTAATAGACCACTATGACCACATACAGAAAGTTAAGAACACATTGGTTTTTTAGCTGCTAACACTAGCATTATAAAAATTAGATGCCTCCTTTTCATGTGATTCTGGCAACCCCATTAATGTAGAAGTGACAGAATCAAGAGTATATGGTGGTCAAGGTCTTGAATTCTGGACCTGGATTTCAATTTCAACTCTACCCAGCCAGCTGTATAAAACTTCACAAATTCCTTAGCTTATGCCTGACTTCTCATTTGTAAAACAGATATATAATGATATCTCTCTCAGAGTTAAAGGAGGTAATGTATATGATTGCCTTAGCTGAGTACACAGAAGGCATCCATCATATGTCATCCAAAAAAGTAAGTGTCTAGACGAAGGGGGCCATGGCACCTGGCAGAGAAGATGAAGCAGCACCAACAACTGGCAATGTAAGCAGTAAGCCAGCAGAAACGAGGTTCCATTACTTTCTTTGGCATTGGTTTGCTTGCTAGAAGAAATCTCTTATTTTTAAAAGTTGGTTCTTTTGTTACTAAAAAAAAAAACGTACAGGAAAACTGAAGGTAAGATGGTCAACATGCCATACAAAGCACAAGAAAACTAAGAGGGGATGAAAACAAGGTAATGGAAGAGTGTTAGCCATCTCCTAGAACTTCTGCTTCTGAAATGGAGTGTTACTCTTCTGTCCTACTTTTCAGAGTTCTTCTAATTGGTCCTGTCAGGCACATGTGGAATTTCAGAACCTTTCTTTTTGCAATGCCTTATTCAGAAATTTAAAAAGTCAGTGCTACTTTGTGATGTATGTACAAATACGGGGAAGGTTGAACACTAATTTCAAAGAAACTTCTTTTTTCCAAATGGATCAACTGAAGTTAATGTATACATGCTTTACACTATGATACATGACTGATTATTCTCTTTTGAAAATTTTAAGTTGGAAAATGTATTTGTGCTCAGATACTCAGTGTAATTTTGTAAGTAGTCTGAAGATCATGCTGTACCAGTTTTTTGCTCTATAAATTTTGCCGTAATCTTTAGCCAAAAGTAATAAAATCTGGCCTGCTAAGTCTAACATCATGAACTGTTTGTATCTTGTTCTTGATGAATACTGTAAGAAAAGCTGCTTTTGTCTTAAGGCTACTAGAATTCCATGAAAACACAATCTAACAATTTACCAAAAGGACCCCCCTCTATACAAAACAAACATTTCTAATTTAAACCTCAACAGGCTGGTGGGGTGGCTCAGGTGGTATAGCGCCTGTCTAACAAGCATGAGGGCCTGTATTCAAATCCCAGTATTACCCAAATATCAAATCAAATCAAATTAGTGGGCATTTTCTTGAGCATAAATCCATATTACCAGTCAGCTTTTCTTTCCAAAGGGAATGATGCTTTTACTTGTTCTATTCTTGAGACCTCAAGCTTAAATTTCAAATGCAGTGTTTATGTTTTTGTTTTCAAAGCAATTTTTTATTAACTATTTGATTTCTTTGATCTGAGTTACTTAAGAGATTTAAATGAGTATTGTTAACTATTTAAGTGTTTGGGTAATTTTCTTTAAAAATTCCTAGCTGTAATGAACCAATTAAGAAATGGGCAACTGAACTAAACAGAACTTTTTCAAAAGAAGAAATTTAAATGGCCAAAAAACACATGAAAAAATGCTCACCATCTCTGGCCATAAAGGAAATGCAAATCAAAACCACACTAAGATTCCACCTCACCCCTGTTAGAACAGCCATCATAAAAAACACCACCAGCAACATGTGTTGGCAAGGATGTGGGGAAAAAGGAGCCCTAATCCACTGCTGGTGGAAATGCAAGCTGGTACAACCACTCTGGAAAAAAATCTGGAGACTTCTTAAAAATCTAAACATAGACCTGCCATATGATCCAGCAATCCCACTCCTGGGGATATAACCAAAGGAATGCAACACAGGTTACTCCAGAGGCACCTGCACACTCATATTTATTGCAGCGCTATTCACAATAGCCAAGTTATGGAAACATATCAAGATGTTATAACTATTGATGAACTCAGCCATGAAGAAGAATGAAATCTTATCATTTGCAGGTAACTGGGTGGAACTGGAGAACATCATTCTGAGCGAGGTCAGCCAGGCTCAGAAGACCAAAACTCGTATGTTCTCCCTCATACGTGGACTTTAGATCTAGGGCAAATGCAGCAATGTGGTTGGACTTGGATCACATGACAAGGAGAGAGCACGTATGGGAGATATAGGAATAGGGAGAAAAACCAAAACATGAAAGTGTTTGATATCCTCACTCCAGAGGAAATAATACAGAAACTTTAAAACGACAGAGGTTATCATGAGCAGGGGATCAGGAACCATTGTAAAGATCGGTTAGAGTTGAATCAACATGGGTCATAACACATGGGTATATGAAAGCAAAATCTCTCTGCATAGCTATCCTTAACTCAACTAGCAAAAATGCTTTGTCTTCCTTATTATGCTTATGTCTTTTCTTCAACAAAATTAGTGATAAGGGCAGAACAGGACGTGCCTGGAACTGAGGGGGGGAGGGAGGGAAGGTGGGGGAGTAGGGGCGGGGTGGACAAATGACCCAAACAATGTATGCACATGTGAATAAATGAACAAAAAATAAAAAATAAATAAGTAAAAAATTCCTAGCTGTGTTTCAATATATTATGAAAAGTGTTACCTGTACAAAATTCTCCTTTTAAGAATTTAAGACACTCTTCTATGATTTATAATATCATTATTAAAAATAATACTCCATAGTAGCTGTTTCTTCTGTCAGAAATCCAAGTCCCATTGCAAGTGAGATTTTGCCCAAGCACCTCCAGATTGGTAGAATCTTTCCTGATACTTCCCTTCTGGATAGAATTCACTACTCCCCTCCTCATGCTCCCACTTCGATGATAGAACCTGTATACACTACTATTACATACACATTCACACATTAGCACACTAGCATACGGGTTTTCTCTTACTTACCTTAACGTTCCCTGTATGTAGCAGAGGAAAGGGAAGGTGTACAATAAATACTTTTTTATATCAATAGAAGAAAAATTGCTCCCATGTGTTAAGCTGGGACAGTAACAGTAGACTCCCAGGAGAGACTGCAGGGCAGGCCTTGCTCGGCTGGTCAAACTTGATCTTGATGTTATCAAACAGATGAGTCATTGTAAAAAAAAAAAAAAGAAATCATCTTAAATAGTTCACAAAATTTTCAGGAGTTGGAGAATAACCCCGGAATGGTCTAAAATCACATAAGTGCCCTGATGAAACTGCCAACCATGCTGCAACCCCATGATGTACTAGGGGAAGCCATTACCACTCCTTTCTCCCATCCGAACCCTAGCTAAGACTGACCCTTGTTGGCTTCTGGTATCAGGTGCAGTGAGGGTAGTATGGCCTGGACTCCGATATTACCTTTCTAAGCAGGCCTCTGCAGGGCCAGGACTACCCAGCCTCAAAGCTTGGCCTCTGCCATCACCTTTGTCAGTGAAAAATGGATTCTGTGTGTACCTCCTTTTTCAAGTTGCTCACTTCAAAATCCCAGTCTTGAACTGATCCGGCTGGTTGGTTACCCTAAGTCAGGTCTCAGGTTTATGGTTTTGTGTTGTTTTGTCTTTTGGTGCTGGGGAGTAAACCCAGTGCCTCATACATGTTAAGTACTTGCTCAACCCTTGGTCTCATGTTCTGATGCTTGCACTTAGTTTTAAAAATTATAGAGGCTGGGTGCAGGTGGCTCATGTCTTTAATCCTAGCTACTCAGTGGGCAGAGATCAGGAGGATTGCAGTTCAAAGCCAGCCTCCGGAAATAGTTCTCAAGACCATGTCTCGAAAAAACCCTTCACAAAAAATGGCTGGTGGAGTGGTTCAAATTGTAGGCCCTGAGTTCAAGCCCCAGTACCGTGGGGAAAAAAAATGTAGAAACACATGACCATATGAACACTGCTAGAGTCAGTGGGGATCCCTGACTATTCATTAGCTTCAAGCCAGGTGAAATGATGTGCTCTTGAAGTCCCAGCTACTTTGGGAAGCAGAGGCAGAACCACTGGATCCCAGGATTCTGAGGCCAATCTAGGCAAAATAGTAAGATTCTATCACACAGGCATGCACACACACACACACACACACACACACACACACACACACACAACTCCTCTCATACTCAGCCACAGTGCTTTATTCCTCTCCCAGTTAGTTACATTAGTAAAAAAAGTGACTGCATTTCTTTGAACTGAGATGTGGGAATAGCACTGCCTACCTCGTGGGAATAAAAAGGATAAACAAACAAACATGAAGAGCTTTAAAATGCAGGATAAAAATGCTTGAAATTTTGGAACTCTGTTGCATTTTATGGATGAATCTTCAGTTTGTTGAAGAACTCTATTGATCAGAAAAGAACTCTACACTCTCCATGAAAATTTCCCTGACATCAAAGCGCCTTTGTTGGGTGATCTTTTTTCCTGTTCCTAGGATACCTTCTATCTTCTATGTCATAAATTATAACAACTAATTTATTGTATTTTATATATATATATATATATATATATATATATATATAATTTTTTTTTTTTTTTGCGGTACTCCTCTCCCAGTTAGTTACATTAGTAAAAAAAGTGACTGGCATTTCTTTGAACTGAGATGTGGGGAATAGCACTGCCTACCTCGTGGGAATAAAAAGGATAAACAAACAAACATGAAGAGCTTTAAAATGCAGGATAAAAATGCTTGAAATTTTGGAACTCTGTTGCATTTTATGGATGAATCTTCAGTTTGTTGAAGAACTCTATTGATCAGAAAAGAACTCTACACTCTCCATGAAAATTTCCCTGACATCAAAGCGCCTTTGTTGGGTGATCTTTTTTCCTGTTCCTAGGATACCTTCTATCTTCTATGTCATAAATTATAACAACTAATTTATTGTATTTTATATATATATATATATATATATATATATATATATAATATATATATTTTTTTTTTTTTTTTTGCGGTACTGGGTTTTGAACTCAGGGTCTCACATTTGCTAGGCAGGTGCTCTACCATTTGACCCACTCTGCCAGCCCTTTTTATGTTGGTTTTTTTGAGATAGTGTCTCAGGAACTATTGGCCGGGGCTGCCTTGGAACCTTGATCCTCCTGATCTTTGCTTCCTAAATAGCTAGGATTATATAGGCGTGATCCACCTGCACCCAGCTGATTTTTTTTGGGGGGATGGTGGGACTGGGGTTTGAACTTAGGGCTTCAGCACTTGCAAAGCAGGTACTCTACTGCTTGAGCTACACCTCCAGTTCATTTTGTTCTGGTTATTTTGGTGATGGGAGTCTCACGAACTATTTGCTTAAGTGGCCTAAAACTTCAATCCTCTTGCTCTCAGCCTCCCAAGTACTAGGATTACAGGTGTGAGCCTCAGGAGTCTAGCTGGTTTTTTTCATTTTACATTCCTAACTTCCCAAACTAAACATGTCTCATAAGCCGGGATCAGATATCTAGCTTTTTAACACCCCCTCAGCAGGGACACAGTAAGTATTCAACAAATATTTATTGAATAAATGAATATTAAAATGTTTTACAGCAGTCTAAAAGCCAGTGAAATCCTGATCTTTTCCTTAAAAAAAAAAAAAAAAAAAGAAAAAGACCAGTACTGGCATACATGAAAATTTTAAAAAGCTATAAAAATCTAACCACAAATATTTAAGAAAAGCCATTAATATACCATTGTACTATAATGGCTTTATATTCCTGAGGGAAAGGGAGACTCTCTTATGGGTTGAATAGTGTCCCCTCAAAATTCATGAGACAGTGAGGGACCTTAGATGGCAACAGGGTCATTGAAGACATAAATGGTTAAGAAAAGCTTATTTGGGAGTAGGGTGAGCCTGTAAATCAGTATGTCAGTGTTCTGAGAAGAGGCAGATACAGTGAGAAGGCCATGTGATTGACAGGTAGTGCTAAAGTACTACAGTGGGAATCAAAGAATGCCAAGGGTGACGGGTAACCACCACAAGCTAGGAAGAGGCAAGGAAGGACTTCCTCCTTACAAGAGTCAGGACCATAAACCTTCCAACTTTCCCCCTTCTGTTTTCTTCCTACCACTCCTTGATTTTGAACTTGTAGCTTACAGAACTGTGAGACAATCTGACCTCATGTTCCCCTCGTGCTTTTTTTTTTTTAAGACAGGGTCTGGCTCAATAGCCCAGGCTGGCCTCCAACTCTCCATCCTCCTGCCTCCACCTGAGCAGTGTGTCCCCACACCCAGCTTCTATGCCCTCTTATTCACCGCACTTATCAGTGTATGAAATAACTGCCTATTTTGTTTGTTGGTAACCTTGCCAAGGGCCCTAGGATCCTTGCAAGGTGGGCTCTTGTCTTGTCTTGCTCCTTGTGGGCCCAGCACTTGAGGAAATCCCAGCATGTCATGTGGAAGAACATCTGAATGTGTTATGAGTGAGCAAATAGACGGTGACAGCTTATGAAGTCAATGCTTAAAGGACATGAATGGTAAAAAAGGAATGGGAATTTCACAAGCCTTACTTATATTTTCCATTTGATTAAGGAGAGAGGAAAAATAAAAACCGGATTGAAAATAATAGGACTAGGAGGGATGGCTTCAGTAGTAGAGTGCTTATCTAGCAGGTGCTAGGCCCTGAGCTCAAGTCGTAGGACATCAAAAAAGAGAAAAAAAAAAAGGACTGAATTTTAACAAGCACAGCGGAATTTAAGACTTTGGGGTGAATTTTATCCCTTTCAAAACAGCCACCTCTAGCTAAAGCCTTTCCATTGCTTGCAGTTTTTTTTTTTTTTTGGGGGGGGTTCCTCATTTGTATCTCTGTTGGAACCGTAGGTCCAGTTCCCAGGGTGGATTTTGATTTTGGGAAACAACAAAAGCAACCGGGAGCTAAGCCTGGCGAGGAAGGCCAGCAGCCGGTACAAAGCCGGCGGTGATGTTAGGCGACAAGGCGCGACCGCCCAAAGCGATCAGGACCCCTCCCTCGTCCCGCCGGGGCTGGGCAGTCCTCTAAGACCGGACGCGGAGGGTGGCAAGAGGCGGGCGGTGGCGGCAGCGTGGCGTTCGCGTAGGGAACGCCGGGCGCTCGCTTCGTTACTGCCGACGCCGGGCGAACGCCGCCGCCCCGGGCCGCCCGCGGCGAAGGCGACCGGGGCTCGGCCAGCCGTACCAACCATGACGAACTCGTCCTTCCGGTAGGCTTGAAAGGTCTGGTCGAACCCGAACGCCTGCGCCTTCATCCTGCCCAGCATGGACCTGGGCACAGGAGGACGAGAGTCAGCGCCCGCGCCGCCGTCCCCGCGTCCGAGCCCGCCCGCCGCTCCGGGGTCCCACAGGACGCCGCCCGCGCCCTCACCACTGGCGGAGCCGGCTGGTGGTCTCCGGGGCGCTCAGGGACGGGAAGGGTCTCTGAGGCAGGAACCTGAAGTAGTAGCCACCTGAATGCCCCGGCTCCCCGGCCGCCATCGTGCTCTAGGCTGTGTAGAAGACGATGACCGTTTCCATAGAGACGCGGCGGGGGGCGGAACTTGGCTAGGCTCCGCGGCCTGCACGCTCTGGGGGCGGGGCTACGACGCGGGGGCGGGGCCACGTTCTGGGGCGGGGAAGTGAGGGGCTGGACTACACTCCGGGGGCGTGTCTCTGCCGCGGGGGCGTGTCTTCGTCTGCGGGGGCGTGTCTTCGTCGCGGGGGGCGTGTCTTCGTCGCGGGGGGGCGTGTCTTCGTCTGCGGGGGCGTGTCTTCGTCTGCGGGGGCGTGTCTCTGCCGCGGGGGCGTGTCTTCGCCTGCGGGGCAGGGGCGGGAGCTGGGAGCGCAGCAGCATCCCAGCTTGCTCGGGCGGTGTCGGCCATCCCACTCCCCGAACCCCAGTTTCACACTTAGCGGGAACCAGGGTTGGAGGATAATTGCCAATCGATATTTGTTGACAGTGACTCTTTAATTGCTTCGCATGGGTTAATGTCCTAGTCTCAAATGCTACAATCTCAGGTTGACAATTTTCTAAAATTTGATGACTCAAACATTTCTGAAGAAAAATTATTCGGAATTAATTAGGCTTATCTATTTTGGAAAATTGGCTACAGTGACTACTTAGGGAAAGTATTCTGTTTTACTATGTGGGTTGTCTTTTTTTTTAATTTAAAACTTACATCAGAAGGCTAAAAAGTTGTTTCCGTACACACATGCTGGTTTTTTAAAAAATTTATTTTACTTTTTTTTTTTTTTGGCACGACTGGGGTTTGAACTCAAGGCTTCACACTTGCTAGGCAGGCGCTCTACCACTGGAGCCACTCTGCCAGGCATAGGAGCTGTTTAAAAAGAAACATTTTCTATTCAAAATCTGAGGTTATTATGAAAGCAGCTGTGAGCATTTTCATGACACTGGTGTCACTTATTTATTTATTAATTACATCTAGATTCCATATATGACAGAAAACTTGCTGTTTTTCTTTTTCAGTCTGGCTTATTTCACTTAACATGATGATTTCCAGTTCCATCCATTTTTCCTACAAATGACACAATTTCATTCTTTATAACTGAATAGTACTTCATAAGTATATATTATGCACCACATTTTCTTTGTCCATTCCTCTGTTGATGGGCACCTGGGCTGATTCCATAGCTTGACTATTGTGGATAGTGCTGCACTGAACACGGGTGTGCAGCTGTCTGTTGCACACTGACTTGGCTATACGCTCAGCAGTAGTACAGCAGTACCATGAGGCAGTTATACTTTTAGTTTTTATATATACTTTTTTAAACTTATTGTTGTGCTGGAGGTACATCGTGACATTTACAAAAGCTAGTTTTAGTTTTCTGAGGAACTTCCATGTGGGTTTTCATAGTGGCAACACCAATTCACATTCCTACCCACAGTGTAGGAGGTAGAAACCACTTCTTAAAGATGTCACATCGTGTCCCACCATCTCTGCACCAAGCTTCCATATGAACTTTTGGGGAACACTCGACTGTATCCCAACCTTAGCTATCCCTAAGTCTTGTCATCTGCTAAGTGTAAATACAATCTGTCCACTTTTTTCCGTGTTCCACTGTTGACACTTCCATCCAAGCCACGGTCCTCTTTGCTGGGGTGGCCACAAGTAAAACTTCCTCATTGGTCTCTCTCTTCCATTTCTGTTCTCCTGGCATCCATTGTGAACACAACAGCCAAACCTAGTTTTTAATAATGACAAATTTGATTATAAAAGTACACTGTTGAGAATCTTTTATTGGTTTCCATGACACAGAAGGTGAAATACAAAGTCTTTATGATCTATATTGTCTCCCTTCAACTTCATTTCCTATGTCCTTTCTTGATTCCCTTCTTAAGAATCACTAGACTGAAAAGAGCCAAGCTCTTTTCTTGCTTGGAACCTTGGTAAAGTGTCTTTTCTCAGCTGGGAACAATTTCCTCCCTCCCTGTCCTTCCTTCTTGCTCTTAGCCTAACTACTTCCTGTGCATCCTTCAAGTTCCAGGTTACAACTCACTTCTCTACAGAACTTTCCTGACCACCAATCAATATTGGTTTGCCTGGATATTCTCTCATAACAACCACTGGTCCTTCACAGTGCTTCTAACAATTTACAATTATTTAAATATCTGTATCACTATATTTAATGTTTGTCTTCCTTACTAGCCAGCCAAGGAAGAGAACTTTCTGTGTCTGCATTGGCTTCTTGGTGGTCAACACTAGGGGGGGAGGGGGATCCCAAAAACTTCTTGAGTAAATGAATCAATGATTCCAGTTTCCATGATCTTGTTATATTACATGTGTGAAAAATAGAAAGGGTTTGACTAAGTTGACCAGTTCTGTTTTTGTTGTAAGCATTAAGGTTAATCATAGGTTAACCTTGCTGCCTGGATATATTTATTTATTTATTGGGATTTGAACACAGGGCTTTGCACATGTGAGGCAGGTGCTCAACTCTTTTCGCCATGGTTATTTGGGAGACAGGGCCACGTTTTTGAGGATTGTCCTGTACCTCAGTCCTCCTCTCTTAAGCTTCTACTGTCACTGGATGACAGACATGTGGCACCACATCAAACTTTTCTCTATTGAGATGGGTCTTGTGAACTTTTTGTCTGTGCTCGCCTTGAACTGCGATCCTTCTGATCTCAGTCTCCCAAGTAGCTAGGATTACAGGTGTGAGCCACCACCACCCAGCATGGGTGTATTTAATTTAAAGTAGTTGAGCTCTTTGGGATTATCATTAAGTAGATAGCATTTCATAAATTTAACTTGCAGGCAATTTACTTATTGCTAAATAAATTTATAGTTTAGTTTTAATAAATTAAATATGTAGGTAACTTGTTATGAATCAATTTGTGTAGGCTTTAACTTGTAGCCAAAGCACAGACTTTAGGGTCAAAAATCTGCATTTCACTGTACCACTGACTATTGTGTGAAGACAACTTAAGTTACGTTCTCAGAGGCTGACTCCTCATCTGTGTTGTCCCAGGAATTAATTGAGGAAACTATGTGTGCTTATTACCGTGCCTGGTATCAGCTGCTAAGCAGGCGTCATTATTACTTGCTTATTAGCTTGGATTCTGTTTAGCACACCAGCGCCCTGTTGTTCACAACAGGATATTTCTGTCAGAAAAGGAAAGGGTTAAAGCTGACTGTCTTCTGTTTCTAGAAGACAAATCTCCTGGGAGTGGGGCCAGGGGGGGATGGGATATGGGTGGAGTTATGACCCCAGGACCATGTAAACAAGTAAGGGCTGGAACTTGTCTCTGTTCTGTGGCAGGAATCCTGTCTTTGACATTAATTTAAAGCTTTTTAAGGCTGTCAGGAAAAGCACTTCCTTCGCCTTCCTAATGGCTGGGTACAACTGAAGTTAGTCTTTGTTTGGCTTCCATAAAAATCGTTTTTACTGCAAAATCCTGTTTTTGATTTACATTTGTTTAAACAAAGTTTACAAAATGTTATAAAGCAAGGTACCCCAATTTCCTACTCAAATCAATCTGCTATGTCTCTAGTGCTTCAGAGTGGGAGTGGGGCAGGGTGTGTGGCTTAAGGCACTACCAGGGTCTATACCACTGCCTGAGAGGGAGGAAAATGCTAGGGCCAAAACAGGGGGTCTAGGTTTAGGGGAATTGGTGGGAAAATTTAGGGTCTAATGGGGGACAGGGTGGCTCTTAATCAGATAGGTCTATTTGTCACCCAAGAACTGAATGATTGGGAGTGCTGGAAAAAAGGACAGTGTTGGTACCTGAGGTCATAAACGTATAAAAGTTTGCTTTGGCTCATGGTTTTGGAGGCTCCAGTCCAAGATAGAGTGGCACCATTAGTTTGGACTCTGATGAGGCGGCATATGGTGGAGTAAACCACTCCCTGCATCAGCTGGAAGCCAAGGGAAGAAACAGGGACAGGAAGTAGGCAGGGGTCCAAAATCCCCTTGGATGGCTGGCCTCCAGTGACCTAACCACTTCGCTTTGGGCTCCACCTCCTAAAGGGTCTCAGCTTCCCAGCAGTGTCAGCCCTGGGGACTGAGCCTTTAATACAGGGACCTGTGGGGGACACTTATCAAAACCATACCAAGGACCTATGAGTAGTTTTGCACTGGTGTGGTTAGAATAGAGTTTGGACACTGAGCTGCCAGGTTGACAGCTACCAGCTCTGCAGTACACGCTGTGTCCCCGCTCACACTTGCATTGCCTTTGCTCATGCTGTAAGAGACTGTGTGGCTTCTCCTGAGGGACTGTGACCATATGTGTAATGATCAGTTGGTGACTGGTCCACAGTGTGACATTTATCTAGCTCCTCCGTCAGGGAGGCATGGCCACTTTGAGGCCACAGGTGAGTTTTTCTTTCCTGTGTTGCAATGTCAGGTTGCTGCAGGGAGGAAGGCGGGGAGACTCCAACCAGACATGTCTCTTTGCAGGTAGATCCCAGATAACAAATTCTTGAGATTTTTTTTAATCTTTATTTTTTTTCAGAGAGGGATGGGCTTTTGCTGATTTTTGAAGAGATTATTATGACTTGTAATAAACAGCTTCCCAGAAAGCACAGCGGTTTTGCTAAACCAGCTCATCTGTTCTACAGACGTACTTGAATATGGCACAAGGGTCCCAGGGATGTGCACATGCGTGTACCAGTCTTCTTTTAGCTATAGGATCATGGCTTTCCTGACCTTAGCCTTGTAGCTCACTGTGAGGGTTTTACAACGATTTGCTTTGGGTAAGATGCAAAGGTACATGGAGGTGTACACAGGCACTTTGTTACTTTTTTCTCATCCACAGCTCTGTCCTCTCCCGTACTGTGCACAGAGATATCTCAGGTGTGTCTGGGTTCTAAGTAAAAATATCTCCTCTCATTCAGCCAGCCGATGGAACTAACAGGTCTTAAGGATTCCTGAGTTGACACACGAAAGGGGCTTAGACCAGTCTCCAGCACACAGAAGACACTCGAATGTTAGCCACTTTTATTATTTCTTGGGTGCTCATTATTTGCAAAGGGGCCTTA